CTGTTGAAATGTCAACGTACCAGCGAGGTCGTGCTGTTGTTCAGCAACACCTATGACTAGGGTGATGATAAGCGGATCAGTCAATCTGTCCAGTACCTTTGCTTGACGCGGTGATTGAGCAAGTCGAGTCAGTGGTCGTTCATTTACATGCGCTCCATTTTGAGTGACAATCGTAATTCGAGAGTTGTGACACTGTCGGTAAAGATACTGTGCTTGGCAATACTAGAACCCTTGCTCGTTGACGTCATGACAACATATGATGATGACCACATGCCTTTTCCATTTTTAACAGAACGCAAATGTAAACTAAATTTTGTGTATATGGGTTGAAAACAACACTATCGATATTGGTGGAAGATGGTATCTATATACCATCTTCCACCAACTACACCGACGTGGTGTTGGCCAACTCGGCAGATCCAATTCGCAGCGGTGAGGTCCAATACATCACTGAGCTCGAATGATTAACGGCCGGAAACTGTACCAGTATGGGCTCGACCTTTCTTGTGCGGCCGAAAACATTCCTGGGTTTATGCCAACCTACTGGAAAGTGTCCACAAGTTATTGTCAAACTTCAACCGTAGGAAAGACTACTGCAAACGACACGACGAGTGCATAAGCTTTGCACTACCAAGAAGCTCATTGGCTGGAATTTTGGGACGATGGGTCCAACATGTGTTTGGATACTGCCTTTCGGATTGCTGCACATCTCTTCAAACAGCCTTTGGCGGTGAGTGAAGACGACATGGCAGAATTTACGGAGTCCAACGGCACTTCCGCCGACTGCGGCATCCCACCGCAGTCTATGCAAAGTTTCATCCGATTCTTGGGAACGAAGGGGTTCAGTCATGCTGTGTTCGGCGACAAGCCATAGTTGGAATCGAGCGGCAACCCAGCCATTGATTTGTGTGTGACGGTTCGACGTCTTCGAAGGTGTGTACTTGCTTACCGCGGTAACGGAAAATATCGCGCATTGCTGGATCGTACACTGCGATGACTACATAACGACCTTGTTCGACAGCGCAGGTGCGATACCCCTTGGTGAACGGGACTTTGAACCTTTTTTCCGTAAACTTGACGTTCGGCTGGCAAGAGATATGGACGGCACCATTTTGTTCACTTGAACGCGGTACAGGGAACGAAGGAAATCCTTCCCCCGTGGTACCAGTGAAAAATCTTGATATTTGTATATGGTAATATTTCGACATTGAGTTTTGCAGGAAATTTTATTGCATTGCGCTCTTTCAACTGATGGCGAGTGCGTTTTTATTGGTCAAAACTTTGTAATTTCGATGTCAGTGAGTGCTCGCAACCAATATTGTTGCGACCAAGTAAAAAGTACTACTATTACATTCACAACTAGTTAATACTTCCAGTAAACCAAACCGACACTGAGAGGGAGCCATTGTGGGCGAGAGATTGGATACCACACAAGGCACTTCACCCCATCGGCAATCCTTCGCTGTATCATGGCTAGCCTCTTCTCGAATGCGGACACCACAAGTTTTTCGCGGAACCACTTGCTGGTAGATCAGCTTGCTCGTCAGTTGGCCCCGCGTTCAAAGAGTGAATCGACTAATCTTATTGTCTCGTACAATCTTATATTATTTTGTATTGATGCCTGTATTGTTCAGATTCTTCCTGTATGAGTCATACAATTTCAGCACATACTACAGGCCAGCGTTTTCGCTGCTGGCAAACCAATGTTACATGAAATCGTGAGGGGCGTAAGTGCATTTTGTGAGAACATTCTACGATTTTTCTAATCCAAATTGCGCAATGTTGTAGAAAATTGTTGTTCAAAACAACGCACAAGATATTTCTGTTTTTGTGACTGAACGAATAACAAATGCCCCAGGTAAAATGAAGAAGGTTGAATGCAAGTTTTACTTAATTAAAGATTGAGCGAAGTTATCGTCTTGGTGCGATAAGATGAAAACTATATCGCACAGGTGTGTTGTTCAAGATATTTCTGGAATAGGTAAATATGATAATAGTTAAAGAGGGGTCACAGCGAATTACAGCGGTCACCATAATCGCTCAGCCAAAAGGCAATCTTACTTTGACATCTTGTGCACCTAATGTGATCATTTCAGGATAATACAATAACACATTAGGATAATAGCATTCTCAGTATCAGTAACAAAGTGTATACTAGTAGTTTTTGTTTGACGACAGCAAGTTGTATCATATCATGTGCTTGGACGTAGATATTATTGTCATCGATTGGTCAAAAGTGTTCTTAATATCCAGAGTGTAGATTTGGACGTAGGTTATATTAATATTCCAGAAGTATGATCTAGTACCACGGGAGAAGGATTTCCGTCGTTCCCTGTATTGCATGTCCTAGCTCAAGACACGCCGTTGTTAGATAAGTTTAATGTGGTGGAAAGCACCTCCAACCAAGTGTTCGTCGAGCGGCACAAACGAAACGACGCGTTCGCGCTCGTACCAAGCATACCGCTCACACGTGTGGAAGGAGCAGTTGTCGATGACGGACGGGTCCACAAACTCCATGGTAAGATCCAGAGAGACCGCTGTGGTACTTATCGTGATCTCGTCAACTTATGGCGAAATGGTACCTGCGAATTCTACATGAAACATGACTTTGGGATACTTCCCAGTACCAGAGACCCTTAAAACATGGTACGTTTGAGATGTTTTGAGCGAGGTCCATTCTGTTGTGAGAAGAACTATTCCGGTGTGAAAAGCACCATTTTCGTGTTAGAATACCGTCTTTAGATGTGATCGGGTTCTTTACTTGCTGCTACGTTACGTAAATCCGTGTTCCACTTAGTAAGGCACTTCTCGACAAATATTAACCCCAGCTCGTCCATTACGATTCACTCAATCCACTTGAAAACATATCTTGACTTGTCGTCAATGAGGTAGTCGAGAGTACCTGACGCGTGAATGTGTCACGATTGGCGTATATTTCGGCATGGCTATGTTGGTGGTCGCGTACGTGGGTCTACAAACTTTGACAACCCGACAGACCACGTCAACTGTTCATCTTCATTGGTATTTTAAACGTTTGGTTTGAGACTACTCCTTCGACAGGAGTCATAGGTGTCTTGCCGAAGAAGTATTGGCAATACTCCTTCGGCCCCAGTGCTTTGGGTTTCGGTGTTGGTTTTCGCGCCATTGAGACTATTTTGCATTGAATGCAAATTTGGACGAAGTGTGTGTGTACTGACAGTTGGCTGTTACGCGGCTTGTCAAGATGATTGGCTGCTGTGTTGCTGTCGACATGTTGCTTATCTTTCAGTGATACTACAGATATCGAGACAATGTTTGGACAGTTACTTGGATGTACTTTTCTACGTATTCGATGATCTGTTATGTTAATATGTATTCACAAAATTCTGTATTACGTGATCATCGGAAATATATGTATTGGGCAAGCGGAATAATCATCATATTTATTGAAAATATTGCAATTATACATTTTATCAATATATTGATGCATTGGCCTACAGTGAACCAGGAAAAAATTCGCAAGACTCAATATCAGTCCATGATTGGACAAATAAAAAATATGAAATTGAAGGTCTCTGATTGGTTGATTTGAGACATTGCCAATGCATAGTCCTGTCCGCAGCGCACTCAACGCTGCTACACAGAAAAAAGCACGGGTTCAGCTCCTTCATGCGAAAACAGCACACTCAGCGCGATTGCGATTTGTGCGATCGAGGGTATACCTCGTTCAAAATAGCAAACGTGATTGAAGCCATTCGAGAAGGCATTTTCCAGTTGTGAAGTCGATCTGGCATTATTTTCTTGAATAGAAACGTTTGGATGAATGTATGGGCATCACTTTGTTCCCAAGTAAAGATAGTGCCGCACAATCGTTGTGGGGATTCCATGCTAATCCTTCACCCTTCACACTCCATGCGCTGCTTTGACATGGTCACCTAACCTTTCGCTAGCTACCATAATCACCACACCAAATGTCGCGGAGGTACAGTGAACACCGGGAAAGCCGACATGGTACAGTATGATCCTGAAATACATGGAGGCAGAATGAAATCATTTTTTTATACTGTAAACTCTCCAACTGTATACCCGGGTCTATTGTAATAATAGGCCCCCAAGGGGGGTCTATTATTAGATTCCTCTATATCTTTAAATATCGGATATATAATAATACAAGGTTTTATTCGAAAACGGAGTGCCATCCAAATGAAGAAGAAGGTGTCCGTAGAGACGACGCTCAAGATCATCCGAGAGGCCAAGCTTTCATCAATACGTTCCGTTACAAGGAATTGCAACCAAGCAACATTCGCCAATGGATGAAGCAAGAACAAGATCTTGCTTGCTCAAATCCGTCGCGATGCTGATTGACTGGAGGTGGCAGACGAGTGACAATTGAAGAGCTCGATGAAATCCTCTTCGAGATGATTCTATTCAAACGATCGTTACGAGCCCGTGTTACCAGGAAGCTCATTCGTCCTGGGCAAAAGACACCGCTGACGAATTGGACGAAACTATCTCCTTGACATTTTCCGACGGGTGGCTTGAAAAATTCATGGATCGCTACGACCTCACGTTGAGGTGTAGTACAAGAAAACCAGTTCTCGTAGACCACGAAATCGTCTCACGCTGCGCCAATTTTGTTCAATATGTGCGCCAATTGTTCGAAACTTCCAAGATTGTACCCGACAACATTTACAACCTTGACGAGACAGCCATCTTTTTCGATCATTCCCGTCGAACAACCGTCGCTTTGGTGGGCTCGCGCGATGTACCGATTGTATCCATGGGTTTTGACAAAATGCGTGTCACAGCGGTATTTTGCGCGAGCGCAACAGGTCGAAAGTTGAAGCCCTTGCTCATGGTCAAGGAGAAAGAATTTCGGATTCGCGATGAAGGCTTGGTGTCTGTTTATGGTGCCCCGAAGTCGTGGATGAACTCGTCCATATTCATCCGCTACCTCGAATACACGTTCGGCTTTGTCAATCCTGGCGAATTTCTTCTCGTGTTTGATGCTGCAAGATCTCATGTGAGCAGTGAAGGCGTTTCTTCAGCGAAAGGGATTTTTGTATGCAGTCATACCTGGCGGCACTATGGCGTATTCGCAATCGGTGACTAAGCTGGTTTAAGCCATTGAAAGACAAAATGGTCGAAAATATTGACGAGTGGAAATCGAGTGGTGATTTTGACTACACAAGAGATGGGCGGACAAGACCACCATCAAATGATGTTGTTGAAAAGTGGCTGATTCACTCATGGAAGGCGATTTCAAGTGACATTGTCATGAAGAGTTTTGTGAAGTGTTTCCTTGGTACAAATGACGAGCTGCTCCTCTCTAAACACCCGACGACGGGAGAGAATTTCCGCATGGAACTCGAATGACTTATGTCGGAAAATACAGAAGAGTCCAAAAAGCCAGACATCGACGATTTGCTTGAAGTGTTTGATGATCTTGTCATGATCGACCAAGATTAAAATCAATGTTTCACTTTGACTGTGATATATTATATACATTTACAAAGGTTTGGTACAACACGCTCTGCAGACAATTCAAATGTATCATTCAGCTGAACAAGACTTCAAATTACAGGTCCACACGAACTCCTCTTGCAGCTCAACATGGCCGTCCTGTTTTCCGAGTTCGAGAAGGCCAAGGTGCAGCAAGCCAAGCTCCAGCTCAAAGAAATGTTCGTGGTC